CAGTCCATGTGTCGCGGCGATGTAATGCAATATGTGTAATAGGCATTTTTATGACCTTGACCCCTTCTGATAATTAGTTGCCTGCAAGAATGAGAACTTGAAAACCATGGGATCGATGTCTTCCTAGTACTAATTACGCTTTATATTTATATCCTTTGTAATCTTATATTCACAGCTCATTTATTCATTCGATACTTTTTTTATATTTTAGTTTTGTGATCCTCAATTGGCCAATTCGAACCGCCTCTCTGTCCAATCACAAGTCCTCATCACGCCGTTACTCAGCGTCGTTCCCTGTAACTTGCTGCTGGCTTTGATTATTGGCAGTAATAGTGAATCCCCCACCCCCCTTGCTGCTAGCTGCGGTCAAACAGACAGTTTACTCCGTGCTAATCATGCAAGCTACAAGACGTCTCGGTCAGGATACAGCCGCTGGAGCCGTGTAACTTCTGAGGGGGTATTGAAGCTAAGGGGGAGCATAGTACAGTAGTTGAGGGGGGGCATAGTAGCTGAGGGGAAGCATAGTAGCTGAGGGTGTGAATAGTGATCATACTATGTACGTAATACCCTGGACGGTCTCAGTCACCAACCAGCACGTGAACGACTCCACCGCATACATCTCAACCCCCACGGTGTGTGAAGCGACTTGGTGACCTAAGGTCTACTTAATCTGCAACTACGGTACTTTTTAACTACATCTTACTGCTGTATACAGTCACAGCCATCAATGGGTCCAAGTAGGAACAGTTTTTTGCTGCTACAGTACTAGTTATTGTAGAGTGCTGCCACGTTAGCGAAGTTAAGATTGCTGCTTGATGTGTGGTGCGGGTAGCAAAAGGAGTTTGATTTCAAGAAAAAAGAAATTCTACGAAGGGGTTCGAAGCAACGACCTTTGCCACTCCAAGCATAGCTTCTACCAATGAGCTAATTGTGCCATGACAAAAGGCAATGAATATATCAAATAAACCATTTCATGAGTTCATTTATTTTAGCGCATTTCAGTTAAGTTGTTTAACTATTTGTTAGCTTGTATCAGACTACATAAATATGATTAAACAATTGTATGTGATCAAGGTGTAAATAAACTGGTATTTATCGAGAAAATAAGGTAGAGATTTGACAAAAGTTCTTTGTGAGTGTCACGGAAGAATAAACGTTTACAAGTATAATATGGCTATGTGAATTGGAAGTTGCGTTCTAAATGCCACACTACTACATACCGGTAACTGCATGCCTTGACACGATTCTGCATTACATGAGACCCACTCATAAGATTTAATCACATTTCATTCAATAAATTGTTATTTATCGAGAAAATAAGGTAGAGATTGGACAAAACTTCTGTGAGTGTGTCACGGAAGAATAAACGTTTTACAAATGCTGTATGGCTGTGTAAATTGGAAGTTACGTTCTAAATCACAATACTACATACCGATAACTGCATGCCTTGACACGATTCTGCATTACACGACATCTACTCATAAGATTTAATCACATTTCATTCTGCCCCAACATCACCATGGACCCATTCACTGTTGTAATCTCACTGCAACAGGACCTTGACGACAGTACATGTACTGTACGAGTCATAGCCAGGACACTGCTACATGCACAATAATTGCTGCATTGGCTGAAATATTGGTTGGCACTACAGTACATTAGCACATATGTGATCGCGTACAGTACACTTGCCTCAAGGACTCGCATGCGTAGTTGATCCTCCCCCACTTACGACGACGACAACTAAACGTACTGTGAAGGCATCCTGTTGTACTGGTGTTAGAGTCGGCACATCGTGCGTTATCTAGAGTACATGTTGTTTGAATGCAACACGAGGACTGTGGTACTGTACATGTACTGTATGAGTAATAGGTAGGACACTACATGTACAGTAGTTGCTGCATTGGCTGATACTAGTACTAGTACATTTTTTGGCACTACTTTAGTTGATTTGTGAGTTGCGAAAGAATGTGACGAGGCTATAGATGGTTTCTGCCAGTTTCCTGTAAAAACGCATATTCTATTTCCCCGTAAAAGAATCATTTATCAAAGTATATCAATTATAACCGTGAATTACAGACGTACCCAAGCACTTGTGTGAATATTGGCCATATGAACAAGAAGGTTATACTCTTTCAAAACCAAAGCCTGAACCGTATAAAACAAACACACATCACAATATAAAACAAACACATTACAGTATAAACAAACACATCTTCACAAGAGATTTCATATTTCATTGTCCGATTTGCTCTCAAGTACCCATCCGGATAATATCCGCCTCCTGGAGTGGCCGGCGATCTTTCCCATCAAGTGCAAATTGGCATTACTGTACCGATTTCGGGGAGTCAGCGGAACGTGTCAAAGGCCTGTGTTCCTAGTAGTCACGGGACCGCTTCGGCCTCGCCCGTTGATATTGCTGGGCCGGATACCGGCACTGTTTTGTTCCCTTGGTATTCGGAGGAGTCCCTGAACTCACAGTGCTTGATGGGAGTGGTCAATGGTACTTCAAATCAAGATCAACACTGGTACGCAGTGTTTTGATCTTGTTTATGGAAGGAACTTGCGTTGATGTTTGCTTTCACTGCGTTTTGTGTTCTTGATAGTTGGGTGACCAGTTGCAAGACGGTGGTGTTGGTTCGGCGCCATTCAAAATTTGCCGCCATGGAGGATGTCTTGGCGAAATATTGAATTTCAGGAGGAATCAGTAACTTAAGGGTATTGTAAAATTCAATCATCTGCAAGCATTGAGTTTTACAGAATTTTCTTGTTCGCAATTGACAAATCAACTAAAGTATAGTACTAGATGAACAAATATATACTTAAATGATTTTGCTTGGGTATGTAGTGTATACTTTCTGCGGTGCAGTGGTTAACAGTAAAGCACCCGCTTGCGAGACTGGTGTTCTGGGTTCGAGTCCCAGAAATAGAAACCTTTTTGTCAAGTATATTCGTAATACTAGCAGTAGTCTTTAGACAACTCATTGGACGAATTTGCACTAATGGAATAGCTTACAGTTCGACTTGCGTACATTTGATTGGTTGTATTGTTCGTGGATGAAACTCCTGCGTACGATTCAATAAAGAGCTGCAACGGACCGTGAAACTACTAAATCATACTTCGAAGTAGCATTTTTTATCATGCGAGTCTTTCTTGCAACCATGTATTCTGCGCGCGTGGATGAGTTTAGGGCCACCCTACCCGAGTATGGCATTACACACAAGAACGTCATCAAGCGCAGCATGGATCTCGATGGTCCGGATCTGTCGCTGTCCAAACACCATGTCATGACAGTATAGTACACGCGTTGTGTGAGTCCACTGTGCCATCCAGCTGGTGAAGACCAAGCACAGCCACTACGGTGCCCAGGTTCGTCTCAAATTTCAACGTGTACTTTAACTCATGTTGCCACGGTGTAGGTTCGTATCGAATTTCAACCTGCACTTTAACTCAGATTGCCACAGTGCACCGAGACGGTCATCATGTGGGTGAATTTCAACAGAAATAATGGTAATGTAGTACCCCGAAACCCAAAAATACCACATTTATATGAAAATGCATGTGTGCATGGGTGACGTTGAATTAGGTCACTCTTGGAATGAAAAAATGCGCTGGCTACATGGGTTGATGATGACCCGAGCACAACCCCAAGACGTTGTTCAAGATGCTCAAGGCGTTCATTGGTCAAGACAGATTCGGTGGCATGCCATGTCCCACTTTGAAGCAAGTGCAGCATTCAGTGCATATATATATTACATGCGGTCCAAAGACCTTTAGCAGAAGAGCACCGTTCCTGCAGCGATTGAAGCACTCATGAAGTGGTGCCTCACCGACAACGTCGAAGACCAGGTTGCGCACAAACCATTTGTGTTTGGTATCGAGGAGGAAGCTGGTCGCTTCGAGCTTGGCGACGGTGGTATGCAGGCATTTCGTGTTGGTACGAATTTCATTGGTTCAAGTTCGTACGTCTCATGAAGTTGTCGTAGGATTGTCAACAGTGGAACTCCTTCGAAAGTACCACGCTGTGGTCACGGTCAACCCAACAAAGACCGTCATATGTCACATGGACACGACATTTTCGAAAAACGTGTTGGGCTACCCCATGTATGTATTTGGATACTCCGACGTGGGGGGCACATTTCACCTTCTGTGCGTACGCATAACGTCACAGCGGACCCACACCGACGTCGCGTGGCTACTGCGGTCACTCAAGGAGAAGTTTACAAGTCTCCTGAATTATGCGTGGGCGCCGACAAGACTAATGGGTAACGCAGACAAGGCACAATTCTTAGGAATGACCAACGCACTTCAACCTGAGCTGCCTCTTCTCGAATACCTTATGTGTTTTTTTCTCGTTCTCAAAAAATGTAAGTATTGCAATGTCATCATATTGTCATCATGGTTTGTTCTAGTGCTACGACAAACGCCAAAGCATGACAAGTGAGGAGTGGACAAGTGTCACCTTTGACATTTACCTGTTGCACATGTCCACAAGTGAAGCCGATTTGGTCAACAACATGGACACTGCGCACGCAAACTGGGAAGGCAGCCGCACTCTACGAAAGTTCAGATCCTACTTTTTCAACACATGGCTCGCCGTGTATTCAACAAACCATGGGCCGCGGTTTTGGAAATGGCAAGTGTTTCACAGCCATAGGGGGTGCTCGTACACCAACAACCCCAATGAACATTTCAACCGCAAACTCAAAGATGTATGTATATATGCATGGCAATCATAACCCTCGCTGCATATATGTATTGTTTAGGCAATCGGTCGTGTCAAGAAGCATGTCCCACACCTGTTCAAGAAGTGGCGAAACTGGTTCAAGAAATCTCAACTGAGGCGACACCTGGGGTACAACATCCAGTCCAAACCGAGCGAATGAAGAAATATAACAAGCAGTTGCTGGCGAGCCGGCGGCTTCGAGTCAACGAAGTGCCGCGCGTACGCCCTGTGACATGGCGCGTGCTTCACCTCCTTGAAGAAATTGCCGAAGGCGAGCAGGATGAAGACATCCCACGACGTGCGTGGCACTACAACTCATTGTCGCGAAACGTTCAGCGTCTTGAGTTCCACAACCAACCTGATATTGGTGAGTCAATTGAATGCTCTGTTATTTCAAATTAATTTTACGTTAAATAATAGGATGTCTTGTCCAACAAGTTCCGGCTCCAGTCCTGCTGCAGTGTCAGTGCCTCCACTGGAACCGCGATGGAATCTGCTCCCATGCCATCATGGTAGCGACCCAGACTGACATGGTGTTGCCTGGCATGGAGCGTGGCGCACATAATCTGGTGAGCCGAATTCGTCGGGGAAATGCTGAAGCGAACGCGTCTCCTTTGCGTGGAGACCGCAACATGCGAAACTAAGTAGACTATGTCTAGCCTTTGATTTGAATACATTTTCGCTATTTGTCACTGTTGTGGACACTAAAATACATACTGGAAGTTTCCTGCACACCTCAATTTAAATACATGTTTCTATGTTCATTACTGTTACGGACACTAAAATTAAGCTACACGATAATCACATTTAATTCCTATATGTTAGACATGTTCGACTTTAGCCAATCGAAATCCATTCCTATTTTCAGCTCTATATTTATCGTATTCTAATTTTGGCCAATGTCAGCACACTATGCAACGGAACCTTCGTATCATTGGATGTTTATCAAATATTGTCAGAACTTTCGTCCAATGACACGTGCCTATTTCCCTAAAAATTATCGGATACGGTAGCACTAATTATTCCTAAGAGTATAGCTCACACGGGTAGAGCATTGGGGTTACAACCCATAGGTTGCGGGTTCAAATCCCGCACAAGGTATTAGTTTGGGGAATAAAGATGGTAAATAGAATGAGCACCGCTAGAAATGCGAAAGCGACCATGGTGTAAATATTCTGTTGTGCAACGTTACTTCTCATTCTGGAATGAGTACCTTCGGGTATCCATAACCCCGGTGGATGAAATGTCACACTGTCCAACAGTTGAAGCACTCACCACCCAAGTCCTAGGGAGAAGTAACAGCACTGCAGCTCATTCGGCGAATAATCTTGTTTACTTTGTGACAAGCGACAGTAGTACTAGTACTGTAGTACTACTTTAAAATTGTGACAATCCACAGTAACATGCGGCGACTTTATACATGATGATAGCATGATGACAGCATGATGACAGCACGATTGCTGTATCACTGACGGTATATTTTCCCCAAGGGATCGATCCCAATTTGTCCGCAAGCTGGAAATAGATGGGTCAGATGTTTTCTATTTCCGTCCTAACTATTTAGGAATTTTGGTGTGGATTAGGCATTTTTTGTGTGGAATTCGGTGAATTGTGTGTTGTGCTCGGCGAAGTTTGTGTGGAACTCGGGATTTGTATTGTGTTATTGGGTCGTGTGTTTTTTTCGGTCGTTTCTGTGTGTATTTCGTTATTTAGTGTGTGACAAAAAAGGTCCTCTGTCAGACTTGGCCATCTCAACTTTACGTCACTCGCTCGACTCCTTACTACTAGTAACTTCCCCGGTGTGCCACGCATTACTAAGGATAGTTTGCATGGAGTCACACTGTATTGACGAGCTTGTGTTCGTGCTAAACACATTTGCATGAGCTACAGAAACAGTTCTGGAACCAAGTCTACTCATGTGGCTGGTTCACTACATGTAGATACATGTGGACCGAGAAGCAAGCTGGTACGTACGGTACTACTTCTGGCATTAGGTATTCATACAGTATCGTTGATGATAACTCAACGTACAAGTGGTGTTCGGTGTTTCAAACAAAGGCTGAAGTACCATCAAGGTTAAAGGAATTTATCCTTGCCATTGAGCGTGAAGGCATCACAACGATTCGCCGAATTCGTAGTGATGGTGGAAAAGAATTTGACAACCAGCAACTAAGATCGTTCTACAAACGACTGGGAATTCAATTCCAGATGTCAAACCCTTACTGTCAGGAGGAAAATGGGTCCGCTGAGCGCGATCATCAAGCAAAATTTGCTAAGGTTCGATGCTACCTTCTCGACGCCCAATTACCGGTCCATTGGTGGCCTGAGGCGTACATGTATGCTTGTTACGTGCAAAACCGCACTGGACACAACCTGGTGGTATCATGTAGTACTACAGTACAGTACTAGTACTACGTAGTATGGTGCAAGTCACCTAAAGACTACAAATAAATGCCTTGACTTTCGACAGCTATTCCAACTTTGTATTGATATTATTTAGGAAAATATACCGTAATAACGATAGAACTGGACAAGCCCAACAGAAGTTTCGGTTCAGATTTTCGCTTGGTGAAAAATTAATCGAGTAATAGAATTTAAACCAACCGGCGCCTTTTTGTACGGAGATATATGGAACCAGGTACATTTTGGCCGAAAAGGAGTATCAAGTATATCTTGGTCTTTGTATACAGCACTTATCCGTACGAACGTTTTCATTGTATCCGGATTATTCACAATGTTTAACCTAATTACCAGGAAAAAAACGTAACTAATAATGTTTTAACGTCAACATTTCGTGGGTTTAACTGAAAGAACCGAGGCGTTTAATATTAAAACGTCTCCTCCTGAGGATGGCCGATTTGTAGTCTTTAGATGACTTGCACCATACTATGTAGTACAACTTTGTCATCACAGTAATTAAACTCGTAGTCTTGTGGCTATGGTCAGGGAGGGGCAAATATACCAGCCAGCGGCGACCCAGTTCCAATCCATTGCTGACAGTTCCAATCCATTGCTGAAATGGATTTGACAGTAAGAAGTGTGTGACACATTCAAGTACGTTGCAAATATGTGGGATGTTATGCAATTTGTCGCGAGATGCCATGACGTTTGCAAAGCGTTGCAGCAGAAGGAGCAGTGAGTTGTACCCACATCCTGGCTTTTTGTCCGCCAAGTACGACACAAGCCATTCGCGTTGATTGCGCTTCACCTACGTAACCATATGGATCATAGTAAGAGCTCGTTCAGAGTCGCTTCTTGTTGCCTCTGTAGGCAGATTTGAGCGCGTTTGGTGACCCAGTTTCGCAGAGTTTGACGGGCGACACCAAGTTCAGTAGCGACCTGATATACGCTCATTGTCTCAAGAAGGCCCAGGGCCTGGAGCTTGAAGGCTATCGGGTACATGATGCGCGCCATTGAATAGTACTACTCTGGTCAGATAACTTTGTCCAATTGTTTTGACTTCATTAAAGTATACTTGGTCGCTGCAAAACATCTTGATTATTGTATGGAACTCCATAACATTATATTGGCAACCAAAAATTATATTGTATTTTTGTAACCTTCGATCTCAACTTGATCTTGGGAATTGACAAGTTCCTCAAGATGAGACTCCACTCCTAGGCGATGGTCCAGTTGAAGGAGTGCCGACTCTAGACTCGATGCATCAAAACGAACATTAAACGTTGTTAGGTCAGCAATTTTAGCGTCCTTGTTCATGCGAGGAAGCTTATAGTTATTACTGCCATGCATTTCAATAGACATTTGCATAACGTTTTGAATGTTATGAATGTTTTCGACACAGTGTCCATTGGCAACTCATAAAACGCACTTTTTACAGCATCATAAGCTCCTCAATTGTTCGAGTGCACTTTTGATGCTGTAGACTTTAAATAGAATTAAAAAATCCTAAATCTAAGGCATTAAAGTCTGGACTATTTGGAGGCTGGTTCATGATGCCAACGTTTTGGATGCCGGCATTTTGCAAGAACGTTATGGTTACTTGCCGGTGAGGACTTGCATTGTCTTGCTGGATGCGAACACCTCTTCGTAAATCCCCAACAGGGAATCGGGCCAAGACAGCAGGAACCACCTTTTGCAGCATAAAATCCTTGTAGACGCCGCCGTTCACATTCTGGGGGACCGTCATGGGAGTTCCTTTCTCTCGGTTGATGCTCTTGCGCTTGGCGGCGATGATCTCCACAAACGGCAAAATTCCAATCTTGCCGTCAAGGTCTTCCTTTGTCGCTGGATCATATCGCGGACGAGCGACGGCAGCAAGGAACATGACTTTGGTGATGAAATTCTTGGACTTCACCGAGCGCGCCGCCGCTTCCTCGTCGTCGTAGATAGACGTAGAATTTCTTCTTGACCCTCGTCAAATAGAACCACTTTTCATCAACGTGCACACTATCGTGCATGTTGGCAAAACGTGTGGTTCCATTCGATGAAGGTCGCATGAAGGATCCAACCTCACCTGCACGTTGTCGGCTGTCAGCATCGGCTTTACGTAACTGTAACGGGCCTTCAAGCTGCCGTGCTCCTTCATGTGCACAATGAGCGTGGTCTCGGGGATGCCGCAGTTCGCCGGCAGAGCCCGAAGTGTTTGCCTGGAATGCTGGGGAACGGCTTGTACTGCTGCCTTGATCTCGTCAGCGGCTCTTGTTTTCTTTCGTCCAGAATTACCTAAATAAGTAAACCTTTAGAATATAATACCTGCACAAAAGCATGTTTTTTTAATAAGTATGTATTTGAAGAGGTAATACCCGTCATTCTTGCCGCGACATCGGCGATCCCGTGATTGAGACTTTGAGTGAGCCGTCCTCGCTCCCAAATGCGAGCAATCGTTCGGGAATGGCAACCAAACTCATTTACCACGTCTCGAATAGCTCCATATCGAAGGTCTCCACTGGCAGACCTCTCTAAGAGCCTATCATAGACAGAGCGGCGTTCGAGTGGTGTAAGGTTCCGTTGAGTCCTTATGAGTGCGTGGGATGTTGCTGAGTGCCGCGGTGGTAACCGAGGCATCGTTGAGGTGGTGGGAATGGTTCAGTAGAGGACAGGAGGCTTCAAGTTCAATAATGAACTCTCAGCGAAAGGTTTTTCGTGTCATTATTTGACCTGCCTACCGGTACTTTGGTAGGGTGTAGATTGCGAAGCAAAACGCTCTAGAAAGCGCAGAAACTACCCAATCAAAGACGAGATCTTGCGCTTTCGTAGAGTATATTTAGAAAAATTCCGCCAATTACAAAACAATTGGACCAAGATATCTGACCAGAGTAGTATTGATTTGAAATTATTGAATTACGCGCGGGCGGGATAATAAAAATATATCCAATTAAAAAGAAGAATTTCAACGAAATTGTTTGATTGGACAAAACTACGGCTGTAATGTTGAATACTTCGGTAGGCCTTGCATTCTGAAGTTCCCTGTATTTACGGTAAAATATCATGCGGATGGACAAATCGATCGTTTTAAAGCGCGATTAGTTGCACAAGGCTGTCACCAAACGTTTGGAATTGACTGTGGTAATGTGTATGTTCATGTAGCACTGTTTCAATCACTCCGATTAATACTTGCAGTGGGAGTGATCTTTGCTTGCATTATCAAGCAAATGGACGTACACACGGCATTTCTCAATGGCGACATGCCTGCAGACTTGATTCTCTACATGCGCCAGGCACCTGGTTATGTACTTTGTGAGAATCCGCATAAGGTTTACCTGCAGGTAGTATCTATAGACTGAAGCAGGCTCCAAGGATTTGGACAACCTGCTCCACAAAGTTTTTGACTTCAATTGGTTTTGAACGATGCAATAAAGAGTATTGTTTGTATGTTCAAAAAGAGGTAGATAGAAATGATGATTGGCTTATAGTTGTCGATGACCTTACTATTGTGTCACAGAATGCACAACTTGTAAAGAATCTTCAAGTGTTATTGAACAAGCGATTCAAAATGCAGGATCTTGGTGATCTTAATTAGATTCTGAAAATGGAAGTTAAAAGAAATCGTGTCGACAAAACCATGTCATTGTCGCAAACGAAGTACATTCGTGATCTGCTTGCCAAATTTGGCATGCAAGATTCCACAGCAGTCTCGACACCCCAAGTAGTGGGAGTCGACTTAGTAGATGAAGCTATCATGACGCAGGATGAGATTGTAAAGCAACCATATGACTATCGAAGGTAAGTTGGTTCACTGCAGTACCTAGTACGAGGTACTAGACCTGACATTGCAATTGCAGTACGAGAGCTAAGTAAGTTTCTCTCTTGCTACAACAAAACGCATTGGGATACAGCATTGAGAATTCTCAAATACTTGAAAGGAACATCAAGTTATGGTCTGTTCATTGATGGGAAAATGTACAACAAGAAAGTGGTCCTCTAACAGAACATTGCTACGCTGCATGGTGCCATCACCGACGCATTCTTGACCTGCGTGTCCATAGATGGTTGGAATTTCGTGGTGCGGCGCCAACCGCGCAACAGCCCGACCTGAACGTTCTCGACCTGGGGTATTTCGCCTCGATCCAGTCTGTACAAAACAATGTGGAGAGTCGCTCCATTGATGATATGATTCATTCGACCCTCGCGTCCTTTGAGGCGCTCAGTTCGGAAAAGTGGAGAATGTCTTCCTCACTTTTCTGGCCGTCATGCGTCTTGTGCTCGAGCACAATGGTAACAACCACTTTCCCTTACCCCATGTCAAAGAAGGACGCCAAGCGACGCGCCGGTGCACTTTCGACAAACTTGTCCTGGCAGGTTCCCTCTAAGGTAGTCGACGCCAATTACACTAGTGAGGATTTTACTAATGTATTTTCTAACTCAGACGTAGCGTTATGTCGGTTGTTACGTGATAAAAATGATTTTTTCCAATGTCGGCTATACCAGTGTAATAACGTGGAACAGAGGAAGTCTCACAGTAGAGACGTTTAGCAAGTCCGAAATGTCAGAATTTTCCAGACTCTCTACTTCCTTCGATTTGATTGGAGTCTGAAGTCAGAAGTCTGACGAATTCCAGTTTAGCAAGTATACAAGCTGTAGAATACAGACTTGGCCACGTAATCGAATGCATGACATTTACAAATATGCACCCTCAGCAGCACCGCTTCCTCCAACGCTCTCGCATGTCGCTCCGTCTCAAGCTCGCCCTGTTGCGTCGTAGTCCCCCAACCTCCCAGTTAACCATACCCAATGTGACATTCACTTTGGACTCGTACTCCGATGCCGATTGTGTTGAGAAGTTTCGGTTTTCGAATGCGACGCTAAGGTACCTAGTCGTCTTTCTACGCATCCCTCACCGCATCACCACCGTCGAGCGAACTGCCTGCACTGGTGTCGAAGCTTTGTGTATCCTGCTGCGCCGCTTTGCTGTTCCTGACCGCTGGTCTGATTTGATGGTGATGTTTGGGCGATCACGAAGTGGACTGTGCAACATTTTCCTCCATGTTTTGGACCATATATACGCGCAATTGCCGAGGTCATATTTTTGGACCGTGATCGCATCAGCAACCAGCTTGAGGCACTTAGCCAAGCAGTCGCAAATAAAGGGGGCGAAGTTCAGAACGTATGGGCATTTATTGATGGAACGGTGCGTGAGTGCTGCCGACCAGACGGTGATGAGCGCCAGCGGACCGTATTTAACGGTCATAAAAGGCGCCATGCTGTCAAGTATCAGACGTTGGTGACTCCCGATGGGATTATATCCCATGCATTTGGACCGATTGAAGGCGGACGACATGACCTTACAATCCTACGGCAGTCTAAATTGGAGAGTGGAATTGCTGCCGACACACGGTTTCGTGGTTTTGTGATTTATGGCGATCCTGCCTATGGCTACTCGGACCAACTCGCCTCTCCATTTGGCGGTGCTCGTTTGACTGCTGCCCTGCGCGAAGTCAACAAAAGCATGAGTCGTGTTCGAATAAGTGTTGAGTGGTCGTTTGGGCAAGTACTACAATACTGGCCTATTGTCGACTTCAAAAAGAAGTTGCGCATTGGGAACAGTCCGATTGCCAAGATGTATAAGGTCGCAGTACTTTTGACCAACTGCATCACATGTGATCGAGGACGAAACACTAATAGCGCCTACATTGGACTACCCCCGCCAACTTTAGAGGAATATTTGCATGTCAACATGTAAACAAAAATAATGAAAATTAATTTGATTTTTCCGCAACGACTTGGATCAACTTTCCCATCTCTAACAAGAATCGTTCTAATTGCTCGTTTCGCTTGGCACTTTCGGCCATTTGAGCCAGCCGTAGCTTTTGTTCTTCCTTTTCGTACTCGAGTCGCTCCATTCTAAACGTATGGTCGTCAGTATGCTTTTGTTTCTCAAATTCGAGAAGATCTTGAATATCCTGGTCTTCTTTCTTCGGCGTCGGACCCACACTTCGCTGTCTCTTGGCCACCCGCTGCTCGGACTCCACGCACAGCTGCGAGCCCGTGGACTCCAACGAGTCGCGACGCTTTTGCTCCTTGTCTTTCTTCGTCTTCTTGACTTCGTCCTTCGCAGCTCTGCGATCAACGATGGCTTGCAGGATCTGCACCTGCTCGGTGACCTCTTCTTCGCTGCATGTGCCAGGTTCCACAACCTGCCACAGACGATTTTGATTGGCTCAGGAGAAGTCTGTATACCCTGAAGACTTCAGACTCAAAAGCCTGTAGTCTTCGTCACTTTTCAGGCTCGATTTCCAGTGAAGTCTGCAATCTTCGAAATTCGAAACGAAGTTCAAGTCTGCAATCCTCAATTTTCAGACTTGCTAAAAGTCTCTAGTACTGGTTTGTCCCAAAAATAACCAGACAATTTGGAGGTGCGGTGGAGATGCTCTAAAACATGAGCAAATCAAACTGTCTCGTTTGCACCACAATTGTCGATGGAAGGACGTTGTGAGATGAATGATTTACCGCATGAATAATACGTAGTAGAAAAACGCGGAGATCAGTTGCCGAGGAGCGAAACAGCCTGTCACATCTAAAGGATGTATACACACACTTGATTAGTTTTCTTCACAACGCTTTCGGCGATATCGCAACAAATCGCATCATGATTGAATTTGCCGAAATGAATTCATATGCACAGGTGGGGATTCATCCTCTCCTGTAGGACGATCGTTGTTCGTAGTGGCTGCATGTCAGTGTGGTATATCTGCCACATCCAAAAACGACTAGTTCCGTCATCAAGGGGTGTATTCTGTGCCATCGCTGGAGGCATCCACCATCGAAAGAATTTGAGCTTGAACTTCCTCACGCTATGGGGCATATCAGTCCATCATGACTTGACTACACGGGCAGCGAAGTCCAGATGAACTCGGTCTTGGGTCGTGTGCAAGAAGTATATGCCCTTAGACACTTCATTCCATTCATTCCATGTGAGCTTGAAGTTCACGGCGTAATCTCTGCACTATAAAATATATTTGTTTCATGAGTGCCTTGTATAAAAAATATATTGTACATACCTTCTTCATCACGTGAAAGAAACACATAAGGTATTTCGTCGACGGGCAAAGTGTGGCGCGAACACCGTTGAATTGCGCATCATCCGATTCGCCCATCACAAATGGAGGCGAAAAGATGTGAGCGAGGAAGGCACCCTTCAGGGATTCGAGGAGCCATGACACGTCTACGGCTTTGCGTTGTGAAGTGATTCCAATGCAGAGGACATGAAAGCTGCCACCAAGATCTGAGTATCCAGCGACGAACACAGGGTATCCTGAACGGTTCAAGTTGAACGTAGTGTCCATGTGCACACCACAGCATGAGCCCCTGGGGGGTTACTCGTAACTGCGCTTCGATAACGATGCAGCAAAGCCAATGTAGTAAGTCATATACCAAAACTTGAGTAAGTCATAGTTGTTAACTATGTACCAATGCGAAGGGGATCCAAGTCGGAGCCGTCATCAACATGGAGTGTTCCTCAAGTTGCATTCCAATCACAAATGCGTTGTTTTGACTGTCTTGGTCAACGACCCTGGATCAAGCGACTTCGTCAACTCACTCGACAACGCTTCATCGGTATCGATATGTCTTAATCTTGACGCTCTCAAGCATTTGACAGCGTTTCATACCTGTACTGGCGTGGGGCTCGGAATGTCGTCAACTTTCCCGAACAATCCTTGTGTCGACTCGGGCATAGAGCATCGCAGGCTTTCTTAACGGATTTTGCGAAATCAGACTTGAAAGTCTCTGTTTCATCGCTGATGTGACCTATGCTTTCACATCAGAAGTACTTCTAAATTGATGTGTACTGTACCTTGCTTGGCCGTGGTGAGCGGGCATCTTTTGTCAGCGCCCGTTGATGAACATGGGTTCCGTTTTGTGCGACAACTGTGACTTGAGTAAAATGACAGCGTCGGAGAAGATACTGCGCCTGACAGAATTCTCAAGGTGCGTTTGGATCTCCTTCGTGATAACGACGTGAAGCACAATTGGTATCATATCGAGTCATTTCATGAGTATGCCAAGCTGATGGAACAGTGTGGTGGTCTTGATATCATGTCTTGACTTCCTTGTGAGTTCGGATGAAGCGGGACAACACCGCAGTAATCCATTGTAGCTCAAGATCAGTATACCGTCCTATCTCATGGTAGGCCATTCTACAAGGAGTGGTTGTTTCGATCAGTGTGCTCCTGAATCGGTAATAATAGCATTTCAGTTGCAAAAGTTCTAATTGTAGCAATGCCCATGAACAACTGGTTCAAACTTGATTCTGCCCCTACATCCAACAATCCATGTCTCCGCCCCGCGTGAGGAGGATTCGATGTGACTTGATTGTGTTGCGTAACTCAACCGGTCATCTTACACCAAACCAGTTGGACAAGCGATTTCAAGAAGTACAATACCGCATGGAAGCGATGAAGAAGTTTGTTGTTTCTCACCGTTGGTTATTGGACGACATTGTGAACTTGCAAATCTTGAATAAAGCCTTTCAAAGTTTACGCAGGGTCAAATCCATTGCTACGTCTCGAAATACACATTCGTCAACATCATATTCGTCTATGCGTATCACATGAACATTCTCCTGTGCGACATAAAAGTAATAGTGAGCGGGAGGGGTCGATACCAGGACCTGTCGGAACCCATGATTATATTCTTCTGAATCGAGTTAGAGTTTTCCGGACCATATCATATTGATTTTAATGCAATGTTGAACTTTGCGTGGGAAAATCTATTCCATACTAATAATAGTACGTGTAAGCATACTCAAACTAAGCTAGAAACTCTAAGTTTCGATTGGTGTGGAATTATATCCAATCAGCTGCTGCATTTGTCTGAAATTTAATAAAAATATTTAAATACCTTTTCCATACATTTTTGAAATGAAAGTAGGTTGCTTTTTTGGTGTTCTCTGTAGGTATAGGTTTCGCCGATATACAAACTTATTTCTGTCGTTGTGTTTGGAACCACCTCAGCAACGAGTGGATATTTTCAGCACATCTATATATGTAGTTGTTTTCATATTACAAGTAGCTCCCTCACATATTTTGTAATGATCGAATTCGTGAAGTGCAATTCCCAAATGTATTATTTGTGGAAGTGCAGGAGTATTATCATGTTTCGTCGCCATGGTCTGACATTTGAGATGTGTGAAATAAATCCGTGCTTCGTTCGGAAGCAACCCTAACCCTACATGCATGCAAAAACAAGTATATTCAAAAATCAAATACTCCTACAACAACACTATTTCAGGTCTTGGAAGCGCCTTTTCGAATGATCGGCGAATCGCGTGAGGTGAATCATTTCCCAAGCAGCAATGGACCGTTTGATCATGGCCATACACTTTTCCGCCGCTGTCGTCACTGGCTTCTCCTTGGGCCACAATGTTCGTAGCAACTTCTTGAAGGGACCCATCACTCCAACATCCAGAGGCTGGCACACGCTCGTACAATTCGCTGGCAAGGGCTCCAACACACTAAAACGTTCACCTAAATAGTATCCAAACATGTCAAAACGTAGCAAAATATTACAACGAAATGTTTACCAGATATCATATCTGCGGATGCTTGGGTTACATGAGCATCGAAATAGTCGACCACAAAAACGCTCGGTCCAATGATGTGTGGCGGCATCACTTCAAGGTAAGCCTTCGAAACGCGGTTGTCCATCCAAGCGGATTCTTGGACGTCGTAGTAATGGCCTTCTGGGTACGTCGCCAATTCTTTCGTGTCGATCGGCCCGCTTGGGATACCATGGACGATAAACAAAATCGGTAGCTTTTCGCCTACGACAATCAAATATAAGCAAGTAATCCAACGAGTATCATACCGTTCGCTCGGCAGGATAAAACCGCCGTGAGTCGGTCCGAATGCTTTTGCTTCTTGTCCACCATGGACGAACCACCCTTCTCGGCCCAGATCTTTTCAGGTAGCATTTTGTAGTTCACCATCGTTTCGTCCACGTTGATAATGTCACACATGTCGTACGCACTGTACTTGCCCCAAAAACGAGCAGCGAATTCGTCACGCAACAACTCCATGTCGACAGTGGGGATCTTCGTCTAGCACGGTACGTGCTGCTAAAAGTTGTGTCGCCGAGCAAAGTCTTGACAGAGTTTCAGCAGGGACTTGTAACCGTCGCGCTTGCCTTCAGTGTAGGTAGTAAGCCAGTCTTCATAGTACGTTTTCATGAACGTAATCATGTGCATCGACGTTAGAATGTGCTCGCCTCGTCGCACGTCCTTCATTAACGAAAGAAGGTGGTTGCGAAAGGGGATGGAGCACTTTGCGCCTTGGCCACTGAGGGTCTTGCGTTTCGCGTTGATTGCAGTCTCCTTGATCTTCTTGCTGTTCTTGCGCCAGTCACGCCACGTGGCTCTTGGGATCCCCTCGATCTCGCAGAACCGTCGGCTACTCAACCCGAGCCACTCGAAGGACGCGAGTAGCTTTCGCTTCTCACCAATGGAGTATGACTTGTGACACCGTCTGCGCATGCTTGTCAAAGCTGAAATGACACGTGTGGTGAAAAACGCCAATAAATTTGAAATTTGAATTTAAGTTCGGCCAATCAGAGAGCTTTAATGTTTTGAGTTCTGATTGGCTAAATTGAATGGCTTTATTAAGTACTACGTAGTAATACAGTTATTTGAATTTATTATAATCCATCATATTATAGAGGTGGGTGGCTTTTTAGGTGGGGTCGGCATTTCTCGGGGTTCTCTGTATGTGCGCAGTACCGTGACAACTTGGTTCCGTGGTCCATGATTGGTAAAAAACAATCGCTCTGAAATTTTCAACCAATGTTTTCAGCCTATGGATATTTATTTCACTCTTTTAGTTCATGTTTCAACACCAATACGAATTTCGACATTGTTTGAACTGCCTGAATTCTCCTCTTTAAAAGAAACACTACACCACCATTTCCCGTTTAAATTGAAATGAATTTCCAGTCAATGTGAAATGCAGAAATATTATACGATTTCACAAGTTTCACATCTCAACATGTAGGTGGCATCCGACATCAAACCGACAAATTTGGAGCCGATGATTGGATAACCGACAACTTTTTGAATTTTGATTGGTCAGATATTTTATAGGCAATCTGATTGGGCGATGTAGTTGTCGGTTGAGCAACATATCACTCACATATAACATATACAGCTTGCTATTGGCTGAAAACACAGTAGTATCGACATACTCTGGAACACATGACCTCGACTCAGCATCCCAAGAACAGAAATACGTAAGTGGAGCAGAGCTCGACAAACAAGGTGACGAGTTTTGACTAGTACGAGTAAGAGAAGTAGCTGCTGTGCTTGGTGTATGGATGATGTACTGTACATCCATAAACAACATCACTACACCATTTCCCGTTCAAGTTGAAATGAATTTCCAGTCAATGTGAAATGCAGAAATATTATAAGATTTCACAAGTGCAGTTTCACATCTCAACATGAAAAATGTTCACATCAAAATGAAACGTTAAACTTACTTCAACTATAGTATAGTGACCATAAGGTGATGAATTATACTACCCTTCAGTATACAACAGTGATTCATTCATCATGTCTACCCTCCCTCACCCATCTTCCTCCTTTATCCAAATCATACACCAGAATATACTGTATATGAAACAAAGTATGTTTCAAGTTGAATGTTAGAGAATTCATGTTGATTTGAAAATCGTCGTGTTTCGAACGTGTTCATTTCACATTGACTGGAAATTCATTTCAACTTGAACGGGAAATGGTGTAGTATAATACTCATAATACTCCGGAGCAGCAATTTGGAATCAAGGAACCCCTCCATCGAAGGTTCCCAAAAAGAGGTGCCCATGCAGTACGTATGCTTGATGGATGATGCGATGGCACGACCGAAAACCCCCACGAAGCCCAAGCAACGTATCTACTGAAGGTAGTTCGTTACGTTGGTATACAGTACTATTCATGCAAAAGGTTTACTCGTCTCTCCCTACCCGTCGGTCGTCGTCTATCTATGTGTGTAATATTGCCCCAACTAACTCGAAATGGTCTCGACAAACGGCGTGGACGCCGCCGCCAGCTCGGCTAACTTTTGCTGCCGTTCAATCTCATCATAGTCGATGTTGGCCACGACGTAGATGATTCCGAGTGCAATCACGAGCATCTTGACCATCTGCTTGACGTCGCGGCCCGTGATGGACTGGAACGACGCGATGAAGATCTTGGGCGCAAACACAACCAGGCACAGCTGGTCCCACGCGAACGCGCCGACCACGTCCAGCGTCAAAATGCCAGTCAAAATCTGCGCAAACCTCGGGTCGGGCATGGGCACAATCTCGAGCACCTTGTTAAACAAGGGCATGGCTTCCGTGCAGAGCAGAAACACTCCCACAAGGCTCACGCCGAGCGAGTAGAGAAGCCCCGGGTTATCCGTCATGCTCTTCATGAACGGGCGGCCCTTGTAGTTGACGGCGCACACGCTGATGGTCTGGATGCCGTTGACAAGGAAGATGACGGTGCTCATCACGTTCGGCTCGAACGAGTTGGGTTTGATGTGCGACTGGTGGCGCGTATCGCCTTCAACAGTGTACTCCTTGGCCAGGTTGGTTGAGTACACCATCACCCCCAAATGGAGGGCAAACTGCCCAATCAGACTCGAAAACAGCGCTGGATGAAAGATCGACGCGATTGGACGCACCGGACTCAGCTCGGCTAGCGGCGTCGCGCGGGAAAGCGTCACGCTGGCCACCGTGCCCATCATACCCAGCGCGATCATCTGCGAGTTGGCGTACTTGACCTTGTCCAGGTACAGCACGGACAGCGAGTACGAGCTGATGAGGCAGTTGACGGCCAAAATCTGGTACATTTGCACGGTTGTGACGAGGGCACACCGGCCTTGGCGGATGATGTCGACGCAGCCCTTGATGGACGGCGCGCGGCTTGTGAAGGGCGACGCGATCGACGCGTCGCCGAGCTTGACCATCGGCAGCTCGCCCTCGTCAAAGTCCTCCATGTACTGCGCCATCACGGCGTTGTTGGCAAACTGGGTAAACTGACTGCCGCCCTTGGCCTTGCGTTCGTTCTGATATGCGGTCGCCGCCTCCTTCTGTCGCTGCGCAAACGCCGCCAGTGCCTTGATGCGTGCAAACGACTCGCCGCGAGCCTCTCGGGCCTTGACGTCGACCTCGATCTCGGCTTGCTGTTGCTGCTGAAGTACTTTGCGCTGCTCGGGGGAGAGCGGGCCAAACGGGTTGAGTTTCTTTTGCGACTTGGCTTGTTCCACGAGCAGTAGCTCCACCAGCTGGTCCTTGTTCATCGTCGCATGGTCCTGCTCGACTTTGAGCGCCACGAGCTTCTTTCTCAGCACCGACGCATGCAGCTTCAAGAGCCCATCCTTGGACAGCGTCGCATCGACCGTTTCCACTTTAACCTTTGGCTTGGCGGTTCCTGTGATGGTCTTGTCTGCGTTGGCCGACCCGAACCCGCTCAGCAAAGCCACCCCTACGTGCGCCTGCTTGAGTGCCCCCACGTCGTTGCCGCCATCGCCGCACATGAGCGTAAAGTGGCCGCAGCTCTTGAGCGACGTCAGCACGCGCTCCTTGAGCTCGGGCGTCATGCGCGCAAACACTCGGATCAGCTCCAAGTGCTTCCACACGCCGCCGTTCACGTCGTCCGCGCGCACCAGCGCCGCGCCGTCCATGCACAAGTCGTACGTTTTGGCCAACGTGGCCACCGATTGGCCCTCGTATGTGGCCACGGGCGTGTCGTCGGCAGAGTTTTTCCACTCAAAGAGCACGTCGCTGCCCGACAGCATGAGCGCAGGCCGCGTGATGATGCCCACCTCCTTGGCCACGTGCACCGCCGTGAGCGTCGAGTCCCCCGTGATCATGGCCACCGTGTGGGAACTGTCCTTGAGTTGCTTGAGAATGTCCGCGCTGTCCTTGCGCACTAGACACACACACATATATATTTTCACATGACAAGTTTCAAACCATATATACTGTAGAGGCACGCAGGCAAAGTGACGTTCACTCACGAACCAAAGTCCGAAATGCAAAATTATCCACCACGGAATCCGACGAGGGATCAACATTTGTCCAATACATGTATCCTCCATAGTAGATCAAGCAAACAATGCAACAGTAGTCCGACATCACCACGACCACACGTACCGAGACATTGGTAGGCTGCAAATCCGGCAAACGTGAGGTTGCTCTCAGCCCATTCGCGGGACTTGTGGGCCAGATCGTTCTCCGACACATTGGGCTCGACGTCGCGGAATGCCAGCGCCAGCACGCGCATGCCCCGGCGAGCCATGTCTTCGTACGTGGGCCAGAACCACGCGGGTACGTCCTTGGACAGTTTGGCGATCGCCTCGGGACTGCCCTTGACCAGCACGCGAAGGCGTGTGGTGCCACCGATTTGAATCTTGGTGACTACACTCATGCGCTGCAGCTTGGAGGCAAAGTGATTGCGGTGCAGAATGTGCACTTTGACGTTGTTGGTGTCGCCGACTCCGTTCCATCCCCGCACGTCCGACTTGGCATTGGGCGAGCATTGCTTGGTCTTGGGGTCGTAGGTGAAGTCAATCGCGCGGAGAGACGCTTCTTCGACGGGGTCGCCAATCATCTTGCCGTCGATTTCGACCAGCGAATGACAGCCCTACATACACATGAGCAACGACATATGGCAAAGTCAAAAGAGGGTACCGCTAGAACCAGACACGCGTCGATGTGCGAACGGAGCATGGGCTGATGGGGCTCGATGGCGCTCGAATCGTTTCGGCTGCGGTCGTTGGAGACGACGCCCACAGCCGTGAGTTGGTCCGTGGTAATCGTGCCCGTCTTGTCAAACAGGCAAATGTCCACCTTGCCGGCCAGCGAAATGCGGAACGGCTCGGTGCAAAAGATAGACAGACGCACCAATGCCAGCAGCGCCGTATTCACGGCCATAGCAGTCTGCATGGGCAGCTCCGCCGGCACCACGCTCGTGATGATGAGCACGCAGCGCAGAATGAGCTCAAACGTCACGCGCCCCTTGCGAGCCCAGCCTTCGCGCAGCACGTAGCCGGAACTGGCTAGCGCGAAGAACACTAGCAACGCCGCGAGTCCCACCGCGTCCCACGAGTTTCCAGTGACTTTGCCGCTCGAGTACTCAATCATGCGCACGAGTTTGCCTTGGGATGCGCTAAACCCGGTGCGCAACACGTACACGAGTACCCCGTTGTCGGGCGTGGGGGGCACGACCGCGTGCGTCGTGACGTTGGTGTGGCCGTCGTGCTGCATGATGGTGGTCCCCCCAAACAGCAGATGCACCTTGTGGTGGGTCTTCATGTCGAGGGACGCAGCCAAGTCGTCGGCGCTCATCTTTTGGCCAATCGCTTCCTTCATCTGGGGCACGCTTTCACCCGTGAGCGTGGCTTCGTTGGCCACGGCGTTGCCCTGCAGAAGGAGGCAGTCGCACGGGACGGTGTTGTCGCCGTCAAGGTTGCGCTTGAGGGACACTACGTCACCCGGCACGAGCGACGACGTGCATGCTTCGATCCATGCGCCGTGGCGGAACACATACACCGTACGCAGGGCGTTGCCCATGCCCCGCAGCGTCTGGAGGTTCTTGAGCCGGGAGAAGACTGTCACCCCCTCAAACATGAGGATCATCACCAACGTGAAGAGCGAGTACTGCCAGTACTCGTCCAACATGTACAGCAGCACCGAGAAGATCTGGAACACCGTCAGCGGCTCCACGAGCTGCTCCTGGTACATCTTGATGAACGTGGGCTGCGGAATGCTGAACTCGTTGTGGCCGTACAAGTCCAACATGCGGTTGTACGCGGCGTCGCTGGCCACGCCCGTCGCGTTGACGTATGTCGCGACGGTGGCGGTCACGGGCGCTTTGAGCTTGCGGAAACAGATGCTGCCGTCGTCCTTGGATTGCTCGCCAACATACTTGTGCTTCTGGAACATGAAGAACGGCGCGCTCTTCTCGCCGGTGCTGAGCACATGCTGCTCGAGCGGCACGATGACGCTCTTTCCACGGTACGCGCGCGGCACGACCTTGACGAACGTCGCATCCGACAAAGTTGCCACGGGCGTGTACTTGATGAACGTGAGCACGCGCGTCGACCATACTTGCATGAGGCGCATGAGGATGTGCAAGCAAAGCACGGCGAGGAGGCACAAGAGGGGTGCAATCCCAGGCAAGAACGGGTTCGGGAGCGGGGGAATCTGCACGTCGTCAGCACCCGTGGCATCGCCCGCCGCCGATGCCGAAGAGAGCGCCGATGCGGCAAGACCAGCCAGGACTTCGTCAGTTGGGGGATTGAGAATGCGCTGGATGTCGAACCCCGACTCCTCGAGCTCTTCCAACGCGATCGCGTAGGGTTGGCCGCTGGTCTGGTAGCACCAAAAGAGGTTGTACGCATGCAGGAGCAGGAACGGGACATGCTCCAGACCATACTCCAGGTTGCCGATGTTCGTGCGGCGGCGGTGCAGCGATAGCTGCGTGATGCTTCGCCCTGTCCACGTCAGCTTCGCCATGATGTCACGACGTTCGAGAATGAGCTGTCAATTCAAGGCGGTATCCGGAAAATGGTAGGAGAGTATCCGGATAATGCAGACTGAGTGGTTCCCGCCCTCCCCGCCCTCACGATCCAAGTAAAGACAGTGGCGATGGCGCTGTAGGATGATGCTGCGATGACAGGATGTGTCTGGCATGCTATGCATGCAGCGAGGTGACACATAGCGCGGAGAAGCTGACGTGAGTGAGGACGACCCCACGAAGCGATGAGCTCTACTAGCGAATCGAAGGAGGTTATTCTCGTAGACTCGGCCACTTTCTGCTGGAATGCTCTCATCTGCATGCTCCATGGACACACACAAGAGTCGCTCGTAGCTGATGTTTATAGATACCATATATACACTAGTCGGTGGAATGTAGCAGACGTCCACGATGCAGATGCAGTCGTCAGGCGTCGCCTTGGTAGTCCTTCGACTCGACTTTCACGACTGCAGGGGCACTTCGTGTGTCATTCAAAGCTCCATCGATGGCTCCAACCTTTTCGACTTTCATGTCTGCCGTGAAGAACGTCTACATGGATCGTTAGCTCTCGTAACGGTGAGGTCTGCATTAAACCTGTTTGGTCGAGTTCCCATCGTCGGAATCGGAATCAAAGTCGCTCTCGGTGTATCGACACAGTTCGTCAACTAAGTACCTAGCGTCATGGCACCAGGGTCAACTACTCGACATGCGAACATCATAAACGATTGCCGTACTCGTTTTCGCTCGAGATGTGGGTGATCTTTTGCTTGACGGCAGTGTATCGCCGTGCGAGGTCGACGTGATCCTACTGATTCCATCACATCACTTCAAGTTCCTTCCCCTGGAGACACCGGCGTACGTACCTCCTGCAGGGCGTCGTAGAGCTGCTTTAAGGCCGCATACCGCTTGGCCTTGTCGGCGACGACGGTCGGTTGCATCGTGGTGGCGGCCACGTTATCCGGAATGATCCAATACATTATCCGAACACATTCTCATTGAAAAGTCATATATATTGTCACTGTCAATATACACGACCATGGCCTTCCAAGCTCCGATGTGCATGCCATCATGGAGATCCATACGAAGAAGCGAATATGCTTCTTCTTCTGCACACCGTTACATTGACTATTACACGGTACTCTCTCTGCCTATCCTTGCAAGATGGCCATTCGCTGCCGCTGAATCAGCTCGGACGTTCGCCTACCGACCGCCGCCCCATCAAAACTACCTTCACAACACATGCGACTTACCTCTGCATGGAAGCGCGGCGGGATTGGCGCACTCCACTTGGTGCTGCCGTCCCGTCCTTCTTTGACGTGCCGTTTGTTTCGAGGGACAAGTGGGCAAGCGTGGGCAAAGCGGCGGATGACGACGTCGATGGCGGCATGAGGAAGCTGCTGTGCCGTGACATGGTCGCAATGCGGTTCACACTACATGCACATCATTCACGAGCCCCCCCTCAGCAAAAGACATACCTGCCCCAGGACCCCGTCGCCGCACTCTGCTTGAGCTCCAACTTGCCATTGCTGAGGCAGAGTAGCCGCATCAACTGCAAACACAAGTCTACATCCATCCATCCATCACACCCTCAGTCTCGACGTAAAAGCGAACGATCGGTCCACATGAATATCCATCATCGTACATACCCACGGTTTCACACTTGAGGATCAACTTGGAGTTCACATCACGCCCAAATCCCAACACGAACGACGTCTTGGCCAGAGGGGGGGATTGTCCATGCAACACATCCCCCACGCCGTCGTCGTCTGTGACACTGCGCACGGACGTGATGAGCGTCGTGGGGTACGTGGACAGCACATCCGGGTCTTCATCGTACAGGTGCACGGCCAGCGAAAACACGAGCAGCCGGCTGCCAGTCAGGACAAAGTACTACTCAACCTCCATCAGACCAAAGATTTCGACGAGACCGACTCACGTTGGCCACCCATTTGGACCCGTCCCACTCGTGCATGTTGGCGGCAAATTGCACGCTCTGTTCGATCTGGTTGCGCAGCAACGCTTCGTTTTCGTTCTGGAACGTGCTGCTTCGGGAGATGAGCACGCCGCCGTGGTCTGTGCGGCGGCTGCCGGTCGGGTTGAACGTGCGCTTGACATCTAGCAGTAGCGCGCGCCACGCCAACTAACAAAAGCACCAATGTGTCTGTCTATTGTTTGCAAGCAACGACGTAGGGGTTACGTACCGTAGCAGCATCCGACTCGGCGACCAGGACCAGCGTCGTAGCGGCAAACTCGAGGGCGAGCGCGTTCTCAGGGCACTGGGTTGTGATAAAGCGCACATCCACCAATGCGCGGCAGTCGAGGACGCCGTACCGGATGGCCGATGGTTCGTTGCTCAGCAACTCGTGCTTATAGATGGACAGTTCACTGCCGTACTGAACAAAGTACCGCCGTCGAAGGCGCTGCTTGGTGGACGATGTCCGATAGTACAGCCATCCTCGTGCCTGCCCCGGCATAAACGGTTCCCATCGATCCTACCCATCAACACCAGATAGTGAACCACCTTGTCACAGAGAGAGCGCCGCGCTCACCTCGGACTCTAGGAACCGCGACGTCTTCATGAGCTCCTGCGGGAACACGGCGACGGACGTCGGGGGCTTGATGGTCGTCGAGGAGGATAAAGAAGCAGAAGACCCGTGGGGGGTGGTCGTAGTGGCGTTGGTGCAGCAGTGGAAGATGGCCGTGGCCCACGTTTTCATGTCGGACTCGTCAAAGAACGACAGCGACAGCGTATGCACCGCCGCTTCGTCGTCGTCGTCATCTGCGCCATTGTCACATTGGAGCGTCAGTTGAAAGTAATCGCCTAGTGGCGTGTCCTTGCCCGTGGTCGTGACCTACACACACAAACGAGTGAGTTGCCCCCCCCCGTTCTCCCAAGCAAACGAGAGAGGTGGGTACCCCCCCCCCTTCTCCCAAGCAATCATCGTCTTCTGATTCGCGTGCGTACTTTGGACATGAACAGCTTGACAATCGCGTCCAATGGCACGACCGCCAGCACGCGGTGGTCGGCGGCGGCGCTGCTGGCTGTGGACATGACCAGCTCGTGGTTTTTCAGGCAAAAGAACCGCTTGCGGTGCACCTGGAAGAGCGGGTCTAGCTTCCATATCCATCCTTCGTGGGGCGGCTGGCTCTCGAGGCGTCCACCGTGGGTACTCAGCACCAAGTGGCTGCACGAGCAAATGGCGAGCATCCACGTCTTGACCTGGCACTTGTCGCGGCACGTCAGCCGGACCGCCGCCGCGTCGTCGTCGAGCGTCACCACGAGGGACGTGTCGTCGTTGTCGGCGTACACTCGGCGGACATGGGCGAGTGGGATCGCGTGCACGGCGTCGCCCCACTCGGCGTCCATGTCCTCTTCCGACTCGTAGCAGCTGAACACGCCCTGCACGATGCACGCGTACACGTCTAGACTGTCGAGTTTGATCCACCCCCGGACGTGCCCGGGGGCGTCCCACACAGCCGCCTTCCCGACCTACGGGGGATCGTAAAAGACAGGCTCACTCAAAGTCTCAGAAGTGTAGTACAGGGGATGGCGGGTTGGACTCGAAGCTTAATCGGGGGAGGTACTGGTCCGAGTCTGGCGTTGTCGCAGCTGCCCCCGACTTCAAAGCCGCCAACGGTTGGTCGTCGTCGACGCAGTAGTAGTCGGATGTCCACACGAGTAGCGCCAGCCACGCATTCTTTTGCGCACATGTGAGCGCCACCAACTAATCATAATCGCCCGATTAGTTAAGGTAGTAGTAGTACGAGTAGCAGTATGTATTGGTAGAGCAAATCGTACCGTAAACACCACATGCGACGCCGTTTGCAGCTGGATCGTGTGCTCCATCGTCTCGACCAGCGACGGATTGCCGTCGACGACGTCTTGGATTTCGCTCAAGTCGATCGTCGACGCACACATTGTACTAGTTGCGCCCTATATTTCGTCATCGATATTTCAATCAACGACGCGACCATTGGAGAGACTTGTACGATCGAACGAGGTCGTACATCGTTTGGGGGGGACGTGTGCTGATACTTGTACAAGTACAGACAGTGCTCGCGCAGCACCACATACCGCGAGTGATACGCTTCTCGACCGACCATACCTGGTTGCTTGACAAAGAACCACCCTAACATACATTCCCCACGGGCTAGCATCCCATCACGTGGTGAAAACACTATCGTACCTTGCGTCAGCGCCGCCTTGTCTTCAAGTTTCAATTCACCCAAGTGTCGGCTGGCAGACCATTCGGCTTGGAGGCTGGCGTACGTGGCGTCGGATACATCGTTCTGGAGCGGCTGACCCGGCGGCGTCCACTCGTCGACCGTCTCGATGGTTACGTCAATGTCTTCGCCGGGTCCCAGGCACTGCTTGGCCACGCGCTCGATGGCGCGGGTCCACTTGATGCCCTGCTGCTCCGAGTCGAAGCGCAGCACCACTTCCCGCCGGTACTTGTGACCGTCGCTGGCCGGCAAAACCGCAATCAGCTCCAAGTACCACTGGCCTTGGAATTTGCTCAACGAAATGTCCTGGATCGTGTCGCACTGCACCGTGCCCACGCGGACGTCGCCGCGGTACACGGCGAGCTTTCCGTACGCGTGCAGCTGAAGCGTCCGCGGTTCAAATGTCGGCGATAAGTCGCCCAGCTTCATGATGCCGTCGCCTTCGAGTACAATGGTTGTTCGCTATCAAACACGGGTATAAATACCAAGCAGCAGAGTTGAAGCGGGAGTTGAAGCGGTTGTCGATTCGGATGTTCATTGAATATATTCGATTTCTACATGGACTGGGGCTGCCAATCGAATCGACAAAGCCAAATCGACGGACCAAAGTAACCAATCAAATTATCGAATGAAAACCTTTTAACCAATCAAATGGAAGGTGTATCCAGTGTGCATTACCAAGCTTCCCCATTTCACAAACAGTTCAACATTGACAGGATTCACAGGGAGTCTAGTTTGTTCAAGTAAAACAACGTTTCGACGATTTCAGGTGTGGATTTGACGTCGAATCTACTGAAAATACTAAATTTTGGGTAACGTGCCAATTACTGGCGTATGTGCCAATTCATGACGTATAAAACTGAGCCAATCACACTGATCCCTAAATTGGAAAAGCGCCAATCACAGAACAAACTTCTGAATATGTATACTCGTAGCCATACAACACCGAAGGTTAAAATAATACTAGTACGTCAACACTTGGCACACCACTTTATAGTGGTATAGCATATATGAAGACCTGTATACAGCTTAATTGTACGAAATACATTGCATGTTGATAATTGGTGGATTGCCCTGAAAATTGTCTACAATGTAGGGCACTTCAGAATTCAAAAACGATACCTCAATCAAGAATTATGACGATTCTCCGAAAACCAAAAAGAGTTGTATTGCAACAATTGGCTAAGGACAATACCTTGGGCGGTTGTTCAATGATGGTCAATGGATGGACAGGAATCGTCGCATATGTTTTGGCGGATTTGTCAAACAGCGGCGCGTTTTTCAGCAAGTCCAGCCAGTGCCACAACTCGGCCGGCCGCTGGACGTAAAACGTGAGCATCATCTCTTTGCCTTCCAAAGTCAGGCCGAATTCTTTGGCGTCCCCAGGCGCCTTTCGTTTGTCTACCAACAGAAATGCAATGTAAGATGCTACATACATTGCCTTGTATATATAGACAAGTACACGCGTATCACAGCCATCATGTGATTACCGTGCACAACTCGAAAATCCGACACGTCGTCGAGGGAAATGGCTACGCACGGGTGGTCCAAGTGGCCCGAGTGCATGCCTGGCTTGTACAGCAGCACCTTTGACCCTTGCAACTGCAGCAACCTCGTCCGGCATCGTGTTGTGGCTACATATACCGTCAGTTGCAAAGTGCAATATTGGGAAATGTACATACCTGGCTCCTTGGCCAACACCCACCCCTGGGCCACGCGCTGCTGGTGCTTGGTTGGGGGAACTTCCAAGCGCGAAAACCGAAGAGTGAGCGGCCGCGACGCCACTTGAATCTCCTGAACCGCCTGGTCGAACGATGTGGTGGATGTCAGCGAGTGGTCCTGGATGCACACTAGCAAGTCGCCAACTTTGATTGCGCCGGTGGCTTCCGCTAGCCCCACGCCCCCTTCTGCCGGTTCGTGGAACCCCTTGACTACAATCGCATCGTCCATCGTACCTACACACACTCGACATGATTCCAACAATTCTTATAGATATAGGTATATATCATATATATATATATCGGAAACGTAGAATATGTGAAGTACTTTGGAGCAACAGGTGCAAACTGCCGGGGGAGTCAAAGGTCACCGTGACGATCTTTTCGCGAACACTCAACACCCGCAGTTTTTCGTCCATTTCGTGCTCGCGGTCGTCCATCTCCTCGTCGAATGCCGCCAGCACCGGATGAAACGAGTTGGCAGACGGCGTGTGGCTCGCGATTTGGGACGGCTGGCGGATGTAGCTCAGGCGACTGTGCGGAGGGATCACAGAGCTGCCTCGGATAACCGCGGACTCGCGGCGCTGCATCATCTTGGGCTGGTATTCTCCGCGCAACTACAACACAACGCTCAGACAAGGAGGAATGAAGCCTGCGTGGAGAAGGTCCGTACGACAAGGGTCAAGACGGTGGCCCACCGGACCATGTCTTCGCGCGTCGTGGCGGCAATGGTGTAGATGCGGTCAGCGCAGACGAGGTCCAACGCGTGCTCGGGCGCGTCGGCAATGCTGCTAGGCAGAACGGCGTTGACCGACGAGAGGTGGATGGACCCGAGCTCTTGGTCGTCGCTCTTGGAACGGAAGTAGCGCAACATCATCCCGTCCAAGACAAACCACCGACTGCGGTAAGTGTTGCCAGGCAAGTGCCACCGCAGGCCCCGCAAACTCGTTTGGATCAACTTCTTGCCTCCAGCCCCCATTTTTTGCATCTTGCGCTTAAAGTCTGGTTTCAAGAGCAATCCGCATGGGTTCTCCAGCCAATCTTGGTGTATCGCGCCGGTGATCTGCGCCTGGTGCACCTCCCGCGACAGCTTCTCGTACGCATTCTCGTCTTGCTCGGCCATCGTAAGCTCAGCGGCGACGTTATGTTACGTACGATAACCGGATGCTATTTTTCCGGATACATGAACCCCTCCTCCGGCTGTCACAAGTGCTCACCAAAATTATGATGGTGAGCAATGATGGTGAAGTTTTAAATAATTAGAAATTGATTTTTCACCTGTATACTACAGTACTGTAGTAGTCGGCACTTTCATTAAAAAACAATATGCACGACGTAGGAATACGAGCTGTTTCACATTACACTTTGGTGAGATACTTCAGTGAGTATTAGTTCCTCCATTTCATCCGCAACAGCGGCGATGGCAACAAGTTCGAAGATGTAATGTACGCGAACACAGTACTACAGACTACAAGGTGTGTCAACGTGCCTTGCTAAGGGAAGCCGTCCATGATGGTATTGTCGTCGTCGCTTGGTACGTGTCGGGTTCTACTTGGGTGGTCGTACATTTTCGAGTACTCGTGCATTTCGTGGCACAGTGACGTGAGGTATCTAGAAGTTGAGGATGTAAGGATGCACAGGGAGGGTGGCGTGCTTGTACTTGGCGTGCTGCATCGCTGCTTGCTGGACGCGTCGTCGATCATGCACCCACTTGGCGATCTGCTTGTCATAAATCGACGCGCACTGGAGTTGTTCCCTCAGCCCGCCCCGTGGCAGCGCGGACGATGCTGTAAGCGGTGTCGCCCTAGACCGAAGTGAGTCACCCTCTCAAGAACGAACACCCATGCATGTGTATTATTACCCATGCGACCAGAAACGCTGCTCGCCGTGCCGTGAGTTAACATGTCGGACATCTCGAGCGAATGCTGGGAATGCAAACTCCATGGTGTCATCGTCGTCTCGACATGGGAACGTTTCCACACAAGGACGCAGCCTGCATCCGTCGTCGTAATGCAAGTCGTTGTGAAATCGATGGAGAGCTTCGCCAATGGACGAGTCGTCGAGGGAGGCGAGGCTGTAATCCGACTCGATGGACGAGTCCGCTTCAGAAAATGGATGCGGATCCAGCGGTGACCTACCGCTGCACACTAGACGACGCGCCATGTGAGGGCGTGTCCAACTCACACTCGTGGCACATGCACAGGACGTACGCATGTGTTCGATTTGGTTGAGTTTTTCCAGGCGAGCATGAAGTCGCTCTTCCACACTGCGCACTTGGCGGGTGTTTTGGCTCAATGTCGCTGTGTTCTACGCCACCAGTTCAGTGTTAATACATTGCGTTTACCTCATGGACGTACTCTGTCCAAGATGCGTTTCATTTCCTTGAGAATCACAGAGCTTTGACCTGTCATGTGCTCGTGCCTCCAGCGTTCCTTCTCTGCCTTGAGTGTGTGGGTCTGGGCGCGAAGCTCCCGCTTTTGCTGTACCACCAAGTCCATGGCCATTTCAATGGATTGCCGCTCCGCCGTCGCACGTTCTCTCCACTTGTTGGTGTCTCCCGGAATGTGATCGTGTTGCTGTTTGGTGATGGAACCTGCTCGTCGACGTTCGGAGTAAGTTGGAGTTGGCAGCACATTGGACGAGCTGACATTTTCGTCGTTGGAGGTGCTCGAGTCGCCGTCGTCGTTGGTATGCAACAGATTCTCCAACTGCGAGATATGGAGCTTTAGCTTTGTGATCTCGTCCTGTTGATCTCGGCACATGAACTCCCAGTCTGTCTACATGAACATGAGCAATGCCATTCCTCGTCGATCGGCGGACATGTCGTACCTCCATTTCAGCTTTTCGTTTGAAAAATTTATCTACCAAATCAAAAAAGGTATCATATCGAAATTCAGAGTGCACTCAAAACAGTCCAGAGATCTATAAAACTAAGAGGAATCGTTTCTTATAACATATAGATTAAGCAAGGTTCAACGTGTACAAATATATTATACAATACATAGACTGTGTACATTGATCTATTCAAAATATTAATTGATAAAGTATTCGATTTATAAGACCTCGGTGGTTTCCCTTCTATTTTGATGCGAATCTAACGAACGTGCAAAGTGAAAGAGGGAATAATATTATAGGCAAAGGGCTCATACTAATTTCCGTATAATATAAAAGAAACTGCCCAAACCTGCCGCCCAGAAGCTTTTTTGGCCCGCAGACAACATGGTGCAGTCAACTGGAGGCTTGAGCACGTTCAACATCCAACATGGCTTCGTGGAAGCGCTCGTCCGTGGGTACCGCAGTGGGTTCCTTGACGATGTCGATTACCACCATCTCACCCAGTGCGAGACCCTCGAAGGTATGTCCTACGAAGTGCCACCGATCCGCCGGGATCCTACTTAATCCCTCGTGTCCTAGACATCAAGCTCAACTTGCAAGAAACGGACTATGACCAGTTCCTGCAAGACGTGAGCGCCGGGGTAACCCCCACCGTGATTCAAGCCGCCACGACCAAGAAGTTTGCGGACGAGTTCGTGTTTTTGCGCTCGCAAGCGATGGAACCGTTGGGGGAGTTCTTGGACTACATCACGTACGTTCCTCCGGCCTATTTGCATCTGCCATGCACTAACTTGTGTGCTTAGATATGAATACATGATTGAAAACTTGATGCTGTTGCTGAAAGGCACGATCAACGGCCGCGACGTGAACGAGTTGATCGCGCAGTTGCATCCGCTGGGCAAGTTCGAAGACTCGATCATGCGCAGCATTTGCACGTTCGAGAACAGCTCCAAGGGGTATTCGGACCTGTACGAGTGCGTGCTCATCGACACCCCCATCGGCAAGTACTTCCAGCAGTTTTTGGCGGAAAACGCGGCCGAGAATCGCCTCGGCGAAGCGTCGCAAGTGCGCAACATCCTCGAGGAAGTGCAGATGGAGATCATCAAGAACTCGATGCTGAAGCTGTGGCTTGAAGACTTTTACACGTTTTGCCAAGAACTCGGCAGCGAAACCGCCATCATCATGGGCGTGATTCTGCGCGCGCGCGCCGACCGCATCGCGATCAACATCACGCTCAACTCGTTCGGCACGCCATTGAACGAACCGAGTCTGCGCATCTCGGACCGCAAGCAGCTGTACCCGTCCATCGGGGAGCTTTACCCCGCCGGCACGGAAGCGCTGTCGGAAGTCGGCGACGAGGCGTCGTTGGGGCTCGTGCTGGAACCGCATCAGATTTACCGCAAGATTTGGGAGATCCACCAAAGCGAAGGTGTGGACAACAAGTCGATCGACGATGCGTTCTACGAGCGCGACGTGATGATGTGCGAGCTGGCATTCCAAAGCCAAATGCACTTTGGCTGCTTCTACGCGTTCGTGAAGCTCAAGGAGCAGGAAGTGCGCAACTTGGTCTGGATATCCGAGTGCATTGTGCAGAACCAGCGCGACGCCATCCACAACTTCATCCCCATCTTCAGCCAAAATGCCCCTTGGCGCGGCTTGGCCAAGGGCCCAGGCCAACACTAACGACAGTCTCCAAGGCAAACCACTGGAATCGGATTACGACGCCAGACACTAACACTTGATGCAAATTTGAGATGTGTTATGGAGTACTACTTACTATACGTACGTACGTAGTAGGAAACTACTAAGCTTACTAGTATTAATACCGTAGTGGTACTACATTAGTTAGTCCTCTGAAGTGCATATTTTCAATTGACTTGATTCACGTATGGTTCGATTAAGTACGATCGATGGGTCGTACTTAGGAGGTATTAATTTTGACACAATTTTGGGACATCAACAGGACTGGACGATGGTGTGGTCGACGACCCTCGCGCGGCGAGGATTCTCCATGCAAGTGTTCAATCGAGGTGGGTCATGACGGCGTAAGAGCATGATGAGGCCATGATTGATGTTAATGTTATGGGCTGGGCGTATGTAGCAATGAAACGCACACAGAAGAACAACGTGGCAGCGTTGGCCGACAGCAAGGAGTTTGAATACCTGCGCGAAGAAGTGGCCAAGCGGCTCGTGGACCGGCTGCAGGACATTGACCGAGACTTCCCATCTGCGCTGGATCTGGGTGCAGGCAGCGGGCATGTCTTCAAATCGTTGGCGCAAGACGCAGGACTAGGCGGGATCACGCACCTTGTGCAAATGGAAGCCGCAGGTACCTACCTACCCAGCTGCAGCAGCACCCTCTTGCTTGGACCACGCCAACTGTATGACGAGCCTTGCCCTAGAACGACTGCTCCTGCGCGACGCAGACACCGACGAAGACAAGCAACTCGTGACCAACTGTACGGCGTCGACCATGTCTCTGTGTATGTACCCTGTTGTGATCGAATGACTCGTAGTGGCCACCCAACGCATCTGCGGCGACGAAGAGTTTTTGCCGTTCCCAAAGCATCACTTTGACGTGGTGCTAAGTTCATGCAGTCTGCACTGGGTGAACGACCTCCCCAGCACGTTTTCCCAGGTACAGACAGAACTTGTGCTTGCAATGCCGAGTTCCCACGGTCCATGTCAGGTGCATGACATCTTGAAGCCCGACGGCGCGTTCCTCGGCGCAGTGCTTGGCGGCGACAGTCTGATGGAGCTCCGGTTGGTGGCCACCGTTGAAACATGTGGGAACCATGTATGTATCGTGTAGGAGTGCATTCATTCTGGCCGACCAAGAGCGTCAGGGCGGGATCATGCCGCACATTTCGCCGTTTCTGAACGTGCCAGACACAGGCAACTTGCTCCAAGGCGCAGGCTTTAGCTTGCCCACAGGTATTTGTCGATAGTTATGCACAAATGGGTTTAATATTATAGTGTAACTGCCCTACCTACAGTCGACACGGACTACATCACGGTCGAGTACCCGAATGCGTTCTCGGTGATGGAGCACCTCCGCGGCATGGGCGAGAACCACGCGCCGTTCGCGCCGTCGTCCGGACATGTGTCCCGCGACGTGCTGCTGGCCACGGCAGCCATCTACCAAGCCATGTTTGGCAACGAAGACGGATCCGTCCCAGTAACCTTCCAGGTACAGACCATGGATGAGCAGTGTTATGAAGGATGATGCTTGGTGGGTAGGTGATCTATTTCATTGGGTGGAGTCCCCACCAAAGCCAACAAAAGCCCAAAGCGCGCGGGAGTGCCACCGTGTCGCTCAAGGATTTGCCCACCGTGCACCACTCGTGCCAGCGAAAGTAACCGCACTCGCACTCTCGGCATCGGCTACGGCTAGAACTGTAAACATAAATTACGGTAGTACCTCGTTAGGGTCCAAATCAATCGGGAATGATGCTCAACTTTCACTGTGGTTCCGTATAATTTCTAAACACCTATATCTGATTTCTCCTGAACTTATCTAGTTATAGAGGTTTAGGTGGAGATATGCGGTACAGCAAATATGATAATACCTGTATAATCTAATAATAACTGTACGTAACCGGTAACTCGGCCCAAGCATCTCGTCAGAGGCGGTGCCTTGTCGTCGCAAGAGTCAATACATGACAAGGTACAATTTGTGTGTATTTAGAATAGGAAGGCGTGGTCGAGGAGGTGGGACGACATGTATCTGGCTAGCGACACCTCGTGGTCATGTTTCGAAGTTTCGATGGATTGCTTCGTGTATTTCAGTGAATCATGCAACGTGCAGTTGTAGTGGAGATTGAGCCCTCTGGCTGCTGATCGGATTCGGAGACCTTGTTCGCAGCAGTGCCGCCATTAATACGACGACGGGACGAATTCGTAAGCCTTCGCACTCAACTTTTGGCTGCGGCTGTAGAAGCCACGGGTCCCGTCGGGACCTTTGGCCAATAAATAACCCGCGCCACCGGCGGGTTTCGTCGACAACGCGAGAGGGACTCGCTTGGCCGAGTACGCCATCGGCTCGGTACGCTTCACGGACAGGCCACGGTCACGCTTACGTGGGTTGGACTGATTGTTCAATTTCTTCATCATGGCGGCCAAGCAGGGAGCGATGGAGAAGACGGACGCGGGACCGAGCGAAACAAAAAGTCACGTTCTTCAGAGGTCACACACTCCCACGTGGGGGTCGGTTTTGATTGGTGGGTGGAGATTGTTGAGAATAATATATGGGGAATCTATTTAAGAACCAAGTGGCGTTTTCTCGAATCGGATGATTTTCTACCAATGAAAGTCGAAGAAACTCTCGGAGGAGTCAATTGATTGGCCACCACGTCATTTACGAGGAATCTATGTCAAGATTCATCGCACCTCGAATGTTCTCACAGATTCCCCTGTGACTTTTGGCAAATTCTCTAACGATACATTTGTTATGCAGAGTGAGTGAATAATGTAGGCTTCTCGTTACATTCCAATAATATCTTCTTGATATTTCGTTTGACAAACAGTAGCGTTTGAGAAATGGACGTAACGTTAGGGCCTCTTCCAAGTAACTTTTCAAACAAACGGAGCCATATTCAATTATCAAGCACGACAAATACAGTAGTCATGCTTTGGTCGCTCCAGTTTTGACAGAATAGACACAACAATACACAGAATAGACACAACAATATGTAGCCGGGCACTGAACCTCGCCGAACCTCGCCACGATTTTTATTGGTTGATCTGAAATGTCTTTTGGCTGATTAGCTACATTATTCTATCTATTATCCAAGTCTATTTTTATCATTATTTGGTAGCCAATCAAGTATCGCAGCGCGGTTGTAGGTTCAACGAATTTGGGAGGGTCGTTTGGCACTTTAACTTTGCGTTCGGATCATCCCACATCGCCAGACCAGCTTACCTGGTATATGCAGCAACTTGGATATTCATGTCCACGGGAAACCCCCAGGTCTTGCCGATTTGACGCTTGAGAAATTTGAAGGAAATTCACAAAACGTTACACTGTATTCCGAAAAAAGTGATTTTGTAGTGACACTTTTTTGTTTGTTCCAAGGTTCAAGTACACTTCGCTTCGAACTTCGATTTGAGGAACTCTCAGTTTGAGAGAGTGATACGATTACCTCTCGGCGGCGGCCATAAGTACTTCGCTTGCTTACTTTCACATGTATCACGTCCGCTTGACTGGATCTTTATGGGTTAACTTAGTTACTCTTGAGAGTCGATAATTTACGCTGAGTGTATCTTGCTTGTCAGGGGTGACGGACTTCCTCACATGTATACGAGCCTCGGATTGGCTAAAAGTCTGATCCGTTCAGTTATTCGACCGATGATTGGTTCAATTCGACCCGCGTTGTGACACACCCATTAAGTTCTTCAGATCAGCCGATGGCTTGCTGCGAGCAAACTTGATCTCCCACGCATCCCTAAGCTCACCGATACTAGTATGGCCAAGGCCGTGACATCTGGCGGCGGCGGCGGTGTTGTGCAGCCTCCATCCTCCGCGCCAGCTGCCATGTACAGACCAACCAACAAGCATTACCAACATGTCGTCGACGTCGTTCGCACCAGCAGCACGAGCTTCATTGCGCTCACCCCCACCAACGTGGTAGCGGACAAACAACCCATTAGGTCCAAGCTTGCGCCGGCGTCGATGCGATCTCAATCCCTTCCAGCCTCGTCGGCCGAACGAAGCAAAATATCGCCCAAGAACTCGTTCATATCTTCCATGGACATTGAAGATTGGTTCATCGCGCCGACGTACGTGTGCTCAATGCATTCGAACAAGGACGGGCTCACGGGTACATACATACATACCTCGTACCTACTACCTACAGACCCTATCGTTGACCATTTGCGTAGAAAGCTATCGCCAAGCGCTTCTTCCAAAAGACGAAGTGATTCAGGTCGTGGTCAAGCAAATCAAGCACCCGAGCTACTCGTACATCACGCCGCTCACGTTTGTCATCTCCCTCCACCACATGACCCACGAATTTAAAATGGACTACTCCGAATACCGCAAGTTTGTCCGTGCGATGGTTGCGACGCCAGTGTTTCAAGCGCCGATCCGCAACCTGTACGTGTCCAAGATGCTCGAAGATTCGTTCGTTGGCGCCGTGCGTCGCGCGCTGGGCTCGGTCGAGTACTTGTCCAAGGAACTCGCGGGAGCCTTGAACGACCTGGTCCAACTCCCGCAACTGGCAGCCCACCCGTCGTTCCTCAAGCTGTGCCACATCGACTCGTTCCGCGCCATCTACGAAGTCCTCGTGCACGGATCGTCCGACACGGGTACGTGGGAGCTTCCGGCCGCCCACCGCAAAGACGCACCCACCCCCGTGCCTATCGACGACGACGACGACGAAGGCGACAACAGCTCCAACTCGACCGAGCCCACGTCGCTCGACGGGTCCCACGACTGCCTCTGTGCACTCTTCGCCTACGCCACGACGCTGTTTGCAAGCCACATTGCCCGCGACGCCGTGGCCCCCGCCGCGCCGCCCGTCGACGACATCCCGCACCACCTTCATCCTCAAAGCAACGACGGCACCACCGCCGACGCCCTGCCGTCGGTGGAAAAGGTGCTATGTCTAGATCTCATGCAGTCGCGGTCCCTGCTCGTTTACTACACTGACACGGTACGTACATACATATACTCCCCCGTCGTTTTCTCTCGAAACTAGACGACGACGTGCCTCCTCGTAGCTGTACACGCTCGACAAATCGCAGTTCAACGCGGGTCACCAGTACCAAAAGTGCATTGTGAGTGGGTTTGGGTGCAAAGTGCTGTTTCACATTGCCCGGGTTACCAAGACCGAGTGGACGCTGGTGGACGTGCGGCGCCCCAAGACGCCCCTGCTGTCCCTCCGCCTGCAGAAACAGAGTGGACACAAGCCCACCGTGGCCATGTACCGGTCCCTCGTGCGCGGCCAAGAGTGCATCGGCGTGCTGCACAAGGATCGACGAGGGTACGAGTTCCAACTGCTCGGCGAACTGCTCACCCAAGGCAAAATCACGACGTCCATGTCGATCGTGTCGGCGCTGTTGAACCACAAGTACCGCCATAACATCCTCTGCAGCGTCGCCGGCGGCGGGAAACCTCGAAAGGAAGACTCGGTGACGACGAATGGCGGCGCCAGCACTGGCTCGGCGGCCGCGTCGCCGTCGTTGCTTACCACTGGAGCCATCAGTGTGCCGCAAGTGAACATGTCCAAGCAGCGCCTGCATGTGAGCGACGGCGCCGACGTCCTACTCCACCTCGGCCTCTCCGCGTCCTTCGACATCCTCATGAGTGCGCGGCCGCTGTTCCAACGGTCCGAGTATATCTATTAATGACAACAACAAAGCAACCAACCAAATGTCCTCGTGGTGAATGTACTAGTAGTAGTAGTAGTCCTCGATTCTAACTAGTACTACTACTACACGACGTTAGTTGGCCACGAGTTTGTACAGGTCCGTGCGCTTTTGCACCGTCGTGGGAATGTTGCGACGCATCTCGTCCACTTGGTCAATGTCAATGTCGGCATACACGATCGCTTCGTCGTGCGACGTCGTGGCCACCACTTCACCCCACGGGGAAACCACGGACGAATGACCCCACGCTTGGTACCCGCCTTCGGGGCCGCGCGCGGGCGACGTCGCGGCAACGTACAACTGGCCGTCCACCTAGCCATCATGACGTAAGATGGGATCGCGCGACCGACGTGACACGTACCGCACGAGCGCGCTGGAGCAATTCCCAGTGCGCCGGACCCGTCGTGAGGTTGAACGCGCCAGGAAACATGAGGAATTTCGCGCCCGCATCCTTCATGAGCATCGCGAGCTCGGGAAAACGAATGTCGTAGCAGATGCCGACCCCAAACTTGCACCAGGGCGTGTCGAACACCGTCACTTGACTGCCGCCCGTCAACGTGTCCGACTCCTTGAACGTGATCTTGCCTGGGACGTCGATGTCGAACAAATGTACCTTGCGGTGCTTGGTGATCAACGATCCATCCGGTCCCGCGATCACGCACGTGTTGTAGATCTTGCCGTTGTCGCGTTCGGGAATGCTGCCTCCGACCAAGAATATGTTGAGTTTCTTCGCCAACGACAGGATGAGATGGGTGGAGGGATGGTCCGCTTCCGTCACGAGGGGGCCAGCCGGAATCTCCTCGGCATATTGCGGGAACGACGACGTCGCGTACGGAGAGTTCCAGCATTCCGGGAGGGACACCACTTGCGCACCGTTGCGCGCCGCTTCTTCCACGGCCGCCTTCGCGCGTTGGATGTTGACGGGCTTCTTGTCGCCCACCGCCAGTTGGCACAGCGCCACCTTGAATTTGCTTGTCGCCCGGCTCATCGAAATCAAAAATGACAGCGATTGGGTCGTTCCGGAATAAAATAGTGGACGAATTGTATCAAGCGCTTTCTCAAAACAATGCGCGGAATTCGAAAGAAGTACCTACCCGCCTATCTGGACGAATTTATGTGGCGCATTTGGTTTTCCCCACCGCAAGCGGACGAAAAGATGTTTTTCACCGGCTTAGTTCACGCACGGTATTGGAAAAAGTACTAACGTAACCGATCAGTCCCGTGCGCCAACTTTCCACCAATTACATGACTCTGCAAAAACTCTTCCTTCCCATACTTGTATAAATTAATATTACATCCACGATTGACTTAAAGAGGTGAATTTTGAACCATGACTTGGCGGGAACCTGCCACTCGTGAGTGCCAACAGCAATGCCGACCCCATAGCGCATGGGGCTTAGCCGGCAGTACTCCAAGGAGAAGCTCCTCGAGGCATCTGCTGACGTTATCAGTGGCACCCTGTTATCCAAGCAGGCGTCTGTCAAGTATGCAATACCTCAGCGTACAATCCAAAAGTACGTAGCCATCCTCCGACTTGGTCAGTCGGCACCTGAGAGGCAACGACCTGGTCCGAAACCAGTCATGCCAGCGGCATTGGAGAAGGACCTGGTCGACTGGATTGCGGGAATGCAGTCGTGTGGCCACCCCGTCCAGCGTCAAACAATCACCCTACGGGCGGCGCGTATCTGTCGTGCGTTCGACCAAACCATGACGCTCTCAAGTGGCTGGTACCAGCGTTTCCTTGCCCGACACCCCATCCTGGCCAAACGCACGGCCCAGGTCATCTCGCGTAGTCGGAACGAGGTGTGTGAACGCACTGTCGAGATCCTGTACGACAGTCTGGCGACCGTCGTGAACGAGCACAAACTCGACTCGACGAGAATCTTCAACATGGATGAGACGGCGTTCAACAGCCGGAAAAAGTCCAAGGTAGTGGTTGCACTGCGTGGTTCAAAGAACGTGTGGGCTAAGGACATCAACACCAACTTCCACATGAGCATAGCAGCGTGTGGCAATGCTGCTGGACTGGTCATCCCACCGCTGTTCATCATGCCGGGCGATACGGTTAAGAGAAGCCTCTCAAGCTGCGAAGTCGTTCTAGGCAGTCGGATCACAACGTCGAACAAGGGCTGGATGACAGAGTACCTGTTCTTGCAATGGCTCGACTTCTTCAACGAAAGTGTTCCCGCGTCCATCCAACGTCCTGTACTACTGGTGTTCGATGGTCTCGCGTCACACTATGGGTACGACATTCTCGAAAAGTGTGAGAAGCTCCAAATCGTGTTGTTATGCCTGCCTGCCAATGCAACTCACCTGTTTCAACCTCTCGATGTGTGTGTCTTTGGTCCCTACAAGCATGCGATTCGTGATGCAATTGCATCGCATATGGTTAACAATGGTAATTTGGCTATTGTCTACGCATGGATACTGAACTGACTTACGTAGATGTGACAAGCATATCGAAGCCTGCAGCAGTGACGATCGCGTCGCAAGCTTGGTCGCAGCATGTCTCCTCTGCGAACATGATTGCGGGGTTCGTTGAATCCGGGCTTTGGCCCGTGTCGTTGGATCAAATGCTGGCGCGTCTCAGTCTGTTCAAG